CCTTTTTTCCCCCATGCATAGAGTTTCTTGGGATAGTGGGTGCTATCCACTTGAAAGAGATACGTGGTATAGACATTAAAGTTGGATAGACTGTTTGCTGATAAGCATGTAGTTGGGGACCCTTAATATCTGGCAAGGGAATGGAAAAGAAGACAGAATGAAAGAAGTAGTTTTCTTTGTTGTAATTGGTTTGCTATTCACTCTCATATGACATTTACTTGTGTATCTTAAAGGTGGAAGGACTTTCTATAATGGATTTTTCTTGGAACAGTGACATTTTCCTCTTGGTTGCATTGTATAACCTGTGTGTGTCTTTCCCTCCAAAATGTAGTCACACAGTTTCATATTTATGCATCGGGACTGCTGTCTGGTGTGTATGAGGTATTTATGTAGTGAAAGGATTTGATTGTGAAAGTGGAAAAATTGTGTCCTTGAATGCAGCCTTGGTGATCAGCTGTATAGTCAGTGGAAAGGGAACTTCAGATTGTGAATAAAAGAAATTAAACGCTCAACTTGATTTTTTTTCTTCATTTATTTTATTTACTGTTCTCAGTAAATTGAAGTTTTGGATTATGATTGTGGTGTATAACGTACTCTTTCTTGCAGATTGTCATGGTAGGTAAGATCCAACACTTATCCTTCTCAGATAACGGTAAAAAATCTCAGAGGTCCTGTGTGCAAGTTGCGCACTTTAAAGATTTCTTGGTGGCCCTAAAAAATCTATAAGTGTAGGCTTCAGCCGCCACCACCTGGGCAAAATTCAAACTTCCAACCTAACCGCGCGGTCTACTGTCCTAATGCAGTTGCGAGCGCCGTAAAACACTTGCCTAAACAAGCAATAAAGATCGTGATTTTATTGAAATGAATTATCAAACGGGTTCATTGTGACATATGTGTCGTGACATGGTGGAATCGGACGCTTATCAATTTTTGGTTGTATGAAGTATAATCTTAAAGCTTGTTTGTCTCGCTTTTGATGTGAAAAAATACCCGTCTACTTGAATAGATCATGTCCGGGTAGGCCTATTTGGGATTGGAGGTGATGGGGGTCGCATGGTATCAAGAGTTAAAATTAGCGAGGAAATGGCCACTGAATTTTGGTGACTTCCAAAGCTTCAGTGTTCATGTAAACTGCAAATTTGTGGGTGGTTGGCGGGTGCTCTGGTGTGGTTTGCTTCTTCTTTCCTATCAAACATCTTATCATCCTTATCTTCCGTTCTTCTTTTTTATGTTTGTTACTCTCTTGTAACACCTCTAATCTTCTGGTGCTCATATGACCTTAATATGCAGTTGCGAGCGCCACAAAACCTGTACTAAAACTAAAAAACTGCAAATTTACATTTTTTGTGTGCCTTTGATCGTTTTCCAGTTCCAGTAAAAGTCCACAGGATGGGCTGCTGTTCTAGTGTCGTTTGCTCCTGCTTCTTTCAAACATCTATCATCTTTATCTCCCTTCCTTTTTTTTGTTTGTTACTCTCGTGTAAGACCTCTAATATTTGGCCCTTATATGACTTTATTGTGTTGCAAGTGTCATAAAACACTTACTAAAGATAGAAATGTGTTTACAAATGAACATACAATGTATGGAGCTAAAAAAAATCCATAAAAATTGCCATGAGACTGAAGAATATCGGTTTCTTCAATTTCATTGTTTTGACAAGACTCCGATTTCACCGTGCCGTACGTGTACATGTATGAAAACCTGTCTTGTGCTGCTGGGGGAACTTTTTATTTTACCACATGAAATTTGTGATCGCGCAGTTGTATTGTGTATACATTTCAAGGGATTTTGCTTGATAAAGAAGTCAGTTGAAATGCCTACAAAGATTATTGTTTTAGGGGCTGTTCAAATATAATCTTACACCTTTTTAATGGACTTTTTGACCCCCCCCCCTTGTAATATTACATTGTTCGCTTATAATGATAAAAATAATATGACATTTATATCGCGCAAATCCGTGAAGCAATCATTGTCCTATGCGCATTGGATAATAATATTCATGAAAAACAAGCATACACACATACATGCACATAATAATATATGCACTGAAAAATAATAGGTGTCACGACATAGTGGGATCAGGCGCTCGGCAGTTTTGAGGCATACGGAGATATTGATACCATCTTAAAGCCTATCCATTTGCCTTCCTTTTGATGAAAATGATATTCATCCATCCTGAATAGAAGTCGAAATATTTGCGATTGAAGGAGGTGTGGGTCACCTGATTTCAGAGGTAAATTTAGTGAGAAAACGACCGCCAGAGTTTGGTAACTTCAATAGCTTGAGAGCCTTTAAAACTGAAAAACCACATATTTTGTGCATGTAATGAACGTTTTTCAGCAAAATTCACACGGAAATGTGTTATTATATGGACATGAAAGGTGTTTAGCGGAAAAACAAAAATCCAATGAAAGTTCCCAAACCTGCGGAATAATGCCCGTTTTTTCACTTTCATTATTTTGACGAGCGCCAGATTTCACCACGCTGCCGTTTAGAGTAAATCATTCAAGCAAAATATTGCACACACTCTTACTACTAAGGAAAAAATTGAGACTCATGTCAGTGACAAAAGCGCCTTAATTACAAATAAAACAAGTTACAGTGGAATTCTGATAAAGTTAACACCCCAGATAGAAAAAAATGTGGACTTTGAGCAAAGTTGACTTTATCCATTGTACTACTTGTCATTGAAAATTGAAGATGACAGCTACAAAATTACAAGGTACCTGGTAATAAACAAGATGTAATTTCAATTTCAGGGAGTATAATTCTGAAGTTGTCACCAAAACAAGAGATAATGAAAGAAAGTAATTGGAGGTGTGTACTGCAGTCGTAAGGGAAAACGAGGAATGGTCCTGCGCAGGTAGCGAGGCAAATTTTTCAGGAGAGAAAAACTGTTTTCACTTTATAACTCTTCTATTGCTCACTCTTTATTACCCTAGTCTTCTGGATGGGGGCCTCGCAGACCCCACCCGGTATATTTCAGGCATTTTTGACAAAACTTTTGGTTCGATGTTATTTTCCTCCCAGGTATTCTTCAAACACCCTCTGATAAGCATGATTACGGTCTATGAAGGTATTTGGATAATTTGGAAGACTGATGAATATTTTCCTTGGACAACCCCCTGAATCCTAAAGGGGGCCTCTCAGACCCCAAGCCATTTTCACTAAAATAGGAAAGGCAGTTCTCCTCTTGTCAAGTATGCACCATGATGGCAGCATCGACGAGGAGACCGGGAAAGCAGAAATCAAAGTCTCTTACAACAAAACAAAGGGCGGTGTGCACTCTCTGGATCAGATGGTCCATGCATCATACATGTCAAAGAGGCAGACCGTGAGATGGCTTCAGACCTTCTTCTGCAATCTGTTGTGTGTTGCAGCTATTGCTGCTTACATCTGCTTCACTGCTCAAAATCCCCAATGGAATATCCGCAAGAAACACAGGAGAAAAATCTTCCCCGAGATGTCGGGTGATGAGCTCTGCTTGCCATTAATACAGCGCTGTGAACATCCCTAAGTCAGTTTGTATGAGCATGCTTCTCTGTGGTGTCGTACCACTTACCCAAACCCAAGAAGCAAGAGCAATGGTCACTGAACATGGGCAAAGAAAGAAGAAACACTCCGTGATGCCTTGATAGTTGAAGCAGACTTAGTGCTATTGAAGCTAGAGAGGTGAGCAGAGTAAGTCTGATTCCTTGTATGGACTTCTCTTTTGACATCCACCCCTTGGCGCTCATATGACCTTATGCAGTTGCGAGCGCCGTAAAAACTCTATACTAAAACAAACGAAAAAAACAACCAAGAAGAAACGCTGTGGGCTTTGTCAGAGAAACAAGGACTGAAAATCCAAACTGACATACTCTGGTTGTGGAATCAGTTTTTCCAATCGCGTTTGTCTTCACTGTCAGTAGACACTCGTATTCCGAACACTTGTCTCCTGATCTTTGGTGCCAGTATTGGTACATACTATTTTGGCATTTCAAGTTTTTCTTCACTGGCCGTGCCTCATTCTGCGTGGCTTGTTTGACATTTTCACGTTTCATTTAGTTACTAATCTTTAATTCTGTGTCGAAATGATTATAATCATCATTATTATTGTTATGTCATCAGGCTCTTACTCTTTAATATAAAATCATCATCAAAATGTCATTGCCTTCATCATCATCATAGATATCATCTAACTGAGTCTTCTTGAGCATTTTCATGAGATTCATTTTTAACTTAAAAACTACCACATC